CAGCCGTCGTGGCTGCGCCGCTGCTGCCGCTGCCGCCGCCACTGCCGCCACCATGACCACCGACCGCTGCGCTCGCTGCGGGCAGCTCGCCAATCTTGCCCTGGTGCCGGAAACCTGCGCCGTCGAGCACCTCGATGGGCCGGCTGGGGATGAGCGCCCGCTCCTGCGCCGACAGGTCCTGCAGCGACATTCCGCACACGCAGTACATGTGCGACTGGCCCGAGATTCCCTTGCTCGTGTCGGTGCCGTACAGGCCGATGCCCGGGACCTCGTGCCGCGATGGCCCGCCATTGGCCTGCTGCGACGCCGCCGCAGCGCCCGACGAAGACGACGACGACGAGGGCTCGGCGCCGCCGTGGTGCGAGCCAATGTCCCACGGCATCTCGGCCTTGCGCGTCGTGGGGTCCGGGTCGGGCGTGTAGGCCGGCAGCGTGACGGCGTCGTAGGCGCAGCAGCAGCTGGGGATCAGGACGGGCTGGCGCAGCGCAAACACCTTGAGCTTGCGCGAGCGCACCTCGCCCTCGTCCTCGTGGTCTTTGCCGTTGCCGTCGCCGCCGCCGCTGCCGCCGCCCGAGGCGGCGCGGCGCGAGTGGACAATCTCGACGACGAGGACGTGGCTGAAGCGGATGCTGGCCTTTGTGCCGCCCGAGGTCGAGGCGCGGATGTGGTTGTCGTCGGGCATGCGGGCGAGGCCCTGGACGGTCCAGGCGTGGTCGTTGCCCTGGTTGCGGATGAATCCCTCGGCCTTTTTGCCGTCGCCGTGGGAGCCGTCGTTGTTCTTGGGCGGCACCCAGCCCTTTTCAAACAGCTTGTGGCGCTGGACGGGGACGACCTGCTTGCCCTTTTTCTTGGTGTGCAGCTCGATGGTCGTCTCGAGCGAGACGCGGACGAGGTAGACGATGAGGTCCTGCGGCGGCGCGGGCGAGTTGATGTCGATGTTGAACACGCCGCCGACCGAGATGTTGTTCGAGGTGCAGGCGATGCTCACCAGCCCCACGGTCGGGTGCAGGTCATTGTAGAGCACCGTCAGCGGCGTCGGGCCCGAGTCGGGCGATGGATTGACCATCGGGTACATGTCGCGCCAGCACTCGACGTTGCTTTTGGCCCGCCCGGCGCCGATGGCCGTCGCCTTGATAATGTAGCGCACCCGCCCAAACGGCGAGCGCTCGTAGGGCGGCGAGTCGCACGGGATGATAAAGGCGAACTCGAAGCCGTGCACGCCCTTTTGCAGCTCCAGGCCCTCTTCGCGCGGCTCCGTCTCCCAGCCCGACTCGGAGTGCTCGCCCGTGTCGTGTGCGCCGTCGTGATCGTCGCCGACGCCTCCGCCGCCGCTGCCCCTCCGCCTGCTCTTGCTCGACGCACGCGCGCTTCGCCCGCGCATCTGCTGCTCCTCGTCGACGTCGTCGAGCTCGCCTGCTCCGCTGCGGCCCAGGGGTGCGCCGCTGGCCGCCGCCGCCGCCGCTCGGCTCTTGCTCCTCGAGCCCTTGTGCTTGCCGCCAAACAGGTGCAGGTCCGGCGCCCAGCCGACGCTCGTGCTGCGCGACTTGCCCTTGCCGTTGGTGCTGCTGTCCCGCTGCTGGCTGCTGCGGGACATGGGCGTCACCGAGCGGTCG